TGCATTTCCACAGTTCAAACACACACATAGCTCCTGGAATGTACATAGTATTTAGCAAATTTTTAACTAAGTTTTCTTATAAATTGTTTAGTTTTCCCTTGACAAGGGGAGGATCAGACTTTTTCAGGAGGATTACCTCTGCTCAACTCATTTCAAGCAGCTCTTGAATAAAATAGTTCATTAGTTCATGAAAAGGAAGAACTCCAGGGAACTGCTGGGGAAGGAAGAGAAAAGAAGAGAGTGCCACAGTAATTAGGTTTTCAGATTGTCCCTTATGCTCCAGAATGCAGGTACACACATACATGTCCCTCTTCCCCTTAGGTAAAGCATTTAGGGGAGCTCATTGCATGTTTTCCCCTGGGAATCAGTGTTCCAGAGATTAAGGTTGTAACCAGGCCATCATTTCCCAGAAAGATATTAAAAGATACCACTTCCTTATAGTACATTAATATTGCTACCCAATAGTGAAAGGGCAGCTCTCTCCCCTTGCAAGCATTTTAACAGCTTAGTTTCAGACTACCTCAAAATTCAGTTTCCCAACCTTTTTAGCCTCCCATGGCTGATGTTGAAAACACAAAGGATCTCCACACACCAGGAACCACTCATATCTGTCTGGGTGTGCAGCAGCCGGGGAGCAGCAGAGCCAGTGACTGTACTTACCAGGGATCAGGGAAAGGACTGGTAGGAATGAAGATGGGAAGTGGGGAAAACTGGAGGGGGTTGCAATTGTTCAACGGCAATTGCTGACCAGAGGAAAACCAGATCTAGATCAAAAGATCTAGACCTAGCACAGTAGAGTAGAGAGCATCCCAGGGCCATACCAACTCATGGGAAGCCAGGTCATCACAGGTCTGACAGCACCGTACAGTTTCTTTGTGGCTTTACACTACATGGCTCACAGGCAGTGTGGTTCACAGCAGCACAGCCTTCACCCTCTTCTCCTGTTGTTCCTTCTGTCTGCTCTACACTTACCCCAAAAGCATTCAGGTAGTCTATAGGTTTCCGGCTAGAGTGATTAAACTGCCAACTGAGATGCCAATTAATACAGTTCTGGTGATACTTCTCTGGGCTTTGTCACCCTCTCCTTTCAAATTGGCTTTAGACCACCAAGAAACAGCTCATCATCACCAGGAACATCATCAGGCCGCTACCTACCTGGCATGGATCAGTGACCTTGAATTATGCATTCACAGCAGACAGTATGACTGAAAAAATCAGGAGATGCCAAAGGAAAGTGCTGCAGCCTCTATGAACTCTCCAGTTCTCCTTGTTAAAGGGTACATATTTTTAAACTGGATTTTCCCATAGATCTGTTGTGATTTTCCAAAAATAATGTTTTGTAATATCCTTAAATTGTTACATTCCAATTGTTGTTATTACTATGGATTACAAATTAAATTCTGTCCCTTCATTTGCTGAGGGGGCTTAGTTTCAACGCACAATTTAAGAAAGGAGTCTTAATTTTGAGCACCATGAAAGACTCCTTCATCCAGGTATCATCATTTAAAACAGACTGGTACGTTAAGAACTGAGCTATAACATGATAGAAAAACAACTCTTACATAAACAATGTTTTCCATATCAGAATATTAAATGAAAATTTATCAAACTATCATTTATTGAAGTAAACAAACCGTCTGTCTGCCCTGTTTCTGGAAACATTTTGCCTAAGGGAAAAATTTAAACCTGGGCAGATAATCAGGATAAGGTATTTGAACACTTAAATCCTGCTGGAGTCTTCAAAGTAGGTGTTAAGTGGTGCATTAAATTTGTGCTGTTTCTTCTGAGCAGGGTGAATTTGCTCTGCTGTAAATAGTGGGCAAAGCATTTTACAACAATTAGAATCCATGAATAAATATAATATATTAAAATTTCTAAAGTACGACCACTAAATGTTTTTCTACATAAGCCAAATGAGTGGAATATACAGGACTGAAATTATTTGACTGACCAAAGAAAGATAATATATAATTAAAATGACAACTGCAGCACTAACTGATGGGATGAGAGAAAGTGACATCACAGATCTCATATAAGCTGCAAGCATATTATTAGATCTAAACCTGGCTGTAAAATTACTATCTGCCCATGGGATTATCTTTAGGCATTCACAACCATTGTTTCATTTACTGATAGAAGAGGGATGATAACAGGCTGACTTTGCTTGTCACATTGGTTTTTGGCCTTTCTTTATTCTTCATTCACGTTAGCTGCAGATGAAAGGGAGACAAGCTTCAGATGAATCACTTTTGTGGAACTTCTCATTGTTTTACAGTTTGTTCCAAAGGCGCTTCCCCCCCCCCCAAAAAAAAAAAAAATTGTGATAAAAGCAATGAGGAGTAAAAGATGCACACAATGTAACAACTAGGAATGTGGCTACCCAAGGAATATCCATGGGCCTAATGCAGCCCAGGGAGACCATAATACTTTGCTTAGAGTTCCCATTATTAGCACAAAGAACCAGTAGCTACCAGCTATATCCTGGCCTCATTAAAATTCAGCACCAAAACTCTGACTTCAGTGGGCACATTTCATCATTCGAGACCTAGGACACAGGACATGATTCTCCTTCAGTGCAGGGCTATCTGGGACACCTAATCTCTACAGATTACATTTCTGCATTAAATTGGACACAGCTGCATTTTGATCCATTTCACATACCATTTTCATGTTCCTGGCACATTATTAGGTTGCTTATACTTCTAACAAGACTTGTGTGCCACCAACCTAAAATAGTAAAAATTCTAAGAGCACATAAGGAAAGTGAAAAAAGCAAGAAAAGGAAGCTCTAAACTCTCCGGTCACTTTTGAAAACTGTGCTAATGATCCTGAACTGCAAAGGGGACTTAATGAGCTCTTAGAAATCTGGTCCCAAGTGTCTAATTCCCAGCATTTGAAATAGTTCCCATATGCCAATTTTGCAAACTAGGCAAAAGTCCAGGAGCAGGCGGGACACACATATAGCGGACTTGCAGATATACTGTTAAGGCAAACATGGACCTTGTACTTCCCTCCACACTGCCCTGACACTGGGCAGCTACTGCCATGTGTTATGTCTTACAGCATCTCCCATAACCTTAAACCTCTGCTCCATCAACCACTGAAACTTGCAAACAAGGCTGCATAGGCAGAAAATGCTGCCTCCTGCTCTTGTCACTACCATCTTGCTTTTCTTTGTGTTTTCTCCTAACCATACCCACCTCCTGCCCTTTGTCTGTAGTTTGAGGGAACGACCATCTCTAGTCTAGTGAAGGATTTAGCCCATGATCGATACCCTCAGTGCTACTGCCACAGAAATGCATTCCATTTTATTAATAGTAGTGAATACATTAACTACTTTTAATCCACTTCAGATTGTTTCATTGTCCCTTTTATCCTTTTATAACTGATAAACAGAACGGACTTTTAATGCAGACCCCCTTTGGCATAAATCTTTGATTCAAAACTCTCCAAACATACAGCCACACCAGTATGCCATTGAAAGCTCACACTGGATCTGTGCACTAGAAATGAGGTATCTGCAAGCAGCTTAGATAAACCAGCCCTGTTAGAAAATATTCCTCCGGCATGCAGCCTGGGCCAGGAACCGTGTTTGTGAATCATGAATTGTTTGTGGCTGGTCAGTGGTGCCTATGACCTTTTGGATGTGAAGAAGGACAGACACAAAGACCTAAAGGCTGGGGGGGTCCAAAGACTCATTAGAGGTGGGCTGCAGGAAAGACAAGAAGCATCTGGTGACAAAGTGCAACAAATACCAAAGTGAGACTTCACTGCAGAAAAAGCAAAAAGAGCAGAACACACAATACAGCAAAGAGCAGCAATATCTTTGAACATCAGTTTGATTTTTAAATGTGGTCTGGACATAATGTAGGTTAAATTAAAACCCATTTTTTCCTGAAATGTGACAGCTGTGGGGCTAAGTTGTGAGAAAAAGTTGGGAGGATTCATTCTCACCTGTGCTGTTACCCCATCATAATTGCTCTTCATCTCAAAGTGGTAAGAGAAATCTCTTATATTTCAATATTAACAGCTTCTTAATGTGTATATTGTAGCATGTTTCATGTCAATAGATATGCAAAACTTGTCTCAGTTACCTTTAAAATGTAATTCTCATTGATATTCTTTGTTTCTCACTACACATCCACAATTAAGTGGTTAACTTATTTTTAAGGATATTGCATGCAGTCTACAGTAAAGAATGGTCCAAAAGGACAAGAAGACCTAAAAAATTTTTGTCACAGAAATGGAGCACATGCCTATGTTCCAAATGCTTTGTATATCAAAAATAGATACACTTTCATAAAAATACACGTGCCTTCAGATACTTCATAAAACAACAGTGACTAAAACAAAACAAAAAAACCCAGAACTGCCTTATGTCTGGACAAAAGAAGAAATATATGGGCAACAAACCATTTGCTAATAATGCATACGCATTAGTTTGCACACTTCAGGCAGAATTTACAAACTTTCTCCTTAGCCATTTCAATATCACGTGTCTGCTCTTAACCAGACATTCAGGTTCTTTCAATTTTCAAAAGCAGTAGGAACTGTCACAGGGCTATATAAAACCCACCTCAGCTCCTAAGTAATGACTCGGTTGAAACACTCAGTAAGGGCTCCCCTTTCTCTGGTTGTTAAGGAAAAGTAGTATAGACAAAACACCTGACTTTAAGATGAGAAAAAAATTCTACAGGGTGAATCCTTCCTTCTCGGTCTAGAAACTGAGTTGGAAAGTCATCCCAGATGTAACATTCTCTGCATCCTTTTTTGAATAGAAAAACTAAAAGAAGCAGCCTTTCTTATAACGTGTTAACAATTCTGCATCAACACCAAGCATGGCTGATAGTACATAAAGCTAAAAATGAAAAAATTCTTCACTAAATTGCTTTGAATGTTCAAACAGACTGAGTTAGCTTTTTCAACTGAGGGTTATGCTACTTTCAGTTTTTCCTCAAAACACTTGCTTATCCATATATTTATCACAGAAATGGCCTTACCTCAGATGCATCTTGCTGGTCTCTGAAGACAATTGCATTTTTTATGGTTTGGATAAAAAATCCATTTAGTTCCTTCTGTTTCTTGTTTGGCAAAATCCGGAGCAATGGGATCATTATGAATGGGAAAGAAACTGTAAGAGATTTTAAAGAAGAAAACACAGAATCAGACTGTAAAGACATATAACATCCCCCTCCTTTCATTGCTATCATAAAACTTATCAAGTAGGATGTGTTACTTTTATGAAATCTGTGTTTTTCTCTTTCCTTCTCCCTTTCCCTCTTTTTCTTCCACCCCTACAGGCTGGTAAAAGATTTTGTTTTAGAAATTCCATGTTGGCCAGGACTTCCCTGCCAGACAGATGCCTTCCAAGCTTGTTTCCACAATGCTTCAGGATTTCAGTACCGTTTCTGGATTCCACAGAGACACCACAACAAAGAGGGAATTATTTTCCCTGCCTACTCAAACAATTACATACAGAAGGTGGGGGATCTTGACCTAGCCTAGCAGCTAATGGCACTGATCCATGAAACTGTGTACTAGTCATTCCCATTTACAGTTCTCCACTATTAGGACATTGGGTTTGCTATTTTATTTTGATTCTCTAAACAGGTCACAAACTCTGGAAGTGGGGTGTTATCACAAGGATGGTCTCCAGTCCATGGTTCTTACAGTCAGGAACCAGAAACCTGAGTGAAGTCTTGCATCTTAATAAACCCCTTGTCAACTTATGAACAGATTAAGACTCACAAATCAGTCACTGGAAAACTCCTGTGTTGCCAACAGGAAAACACAGTGTGGAAATTCAGACAACATAATGTACCAGCAGAAAGAGACTGACCAAGGAATCCAACCCCAAACCCTACAGAAACTTTATTTAATGAAGGACATGGTCTTTGACATATAGGGACTCATTTCTGTCCTTTCAGAAATCAGGTTAAACATTAACATTTTGGATACACAACTCCAGAAGGAAACAGTTCATGTGCTGCTAGTACCAGTGCAATCTGTAACGCCAGCAGGATCAGATGGGCACAGGAAACTTTGCCACTGTGCCACCTGACACTACTGTGAGCAGATCTAGATAGCAAGATGGTAAAACCTCAACAACTTTGATTATGCTGTGGCTTCCCCAGCTCCGATTCTTGCTGCCCTTGCATTAACAATGCCGCTGACACAGAGAAGCCTTAGCTTTCATGCCCTAGAACTAAATGGCTTTATACCCCCATTCTTGCATTCCCTATCTATTCACCTCAAATTAAATGCATTATCTTAAGACAGTCTGTGCTGGCACTTATCATCTTTATCCTTTATAGTCGTCAACAAGGCTGCTGATGCCATTCAAACAAGAATTTGGAGGACTTATACTATCTGCTTATGCTTCTCCATCTCCTTTCTTTAGTGGGTTATTAGACCACTGTTGTATATGGATGGGATTTCAATCTCTCTCTCTCTCTCCAAGCAAACTGCAGAAAAAATTTACTCTCAGGCTGCGAAGGGCAGTTACTCTGTTTTAATGCTGACATGTATGAAAAGAGATACCATAGAAACTATGGGTTCCAGAAAACTTCCACTCAGATCAACTTGGAGCATTACCTTCCCAGGCTCAGTTTCTGGAGGAAGTTGCATTAATGGTGACAAGAGCTATAGAACATATGGTGGAAATCTCAAGGGTATACTTGACCCATAGGTTGCATTTGGAACATCTCTGAAATAAAGTCTGCTACACATCTTCCTGCTCCTGCTTCAGCATGTTTTGAAATTGGAGAATGACTTTTAGAAAATTACCATAAAGAAGTAGACAAAGTTACACTATACTCACGGATTAGAATGAAGAGAGGCTTAAACAAAGACATTTCAAAGAATGTTCTGCAATTCTTAACAAAGGGGTCTTCAGGATTCTTCAGAGAATCCACCTCAGTACCAAAAGCTACACTACCAACAACATCCAAGGTAAAGCAGTTGTAACACCTGCATTGAGTTGAAGAAGAATAAATCATTAGCTACAAATTACATATCCATTAATATCTTGCTTCTACAAACTTCACATAACATTAATTTTTGCCTCTGACTTTCTTTTTGCTTTTAGATTTGAGCTTTGCCAACAAGAGATGTTTCCATCATTCTGACAAATGCTGATGCTTAATAATGATCACCTGCTCTCCATCTGCAAAGTGAACATATGTTCATATAGCTCAATAATTCCAATATAAATTTATTTTTAAAAAATCAACAATTTCATTTGTTATCAAATGCAACAGGTCAGAGATTCACAAGCAATTTCTTAGTATGCATCCTAATAAAAGAGATCACTCCTTTTTCATTTTAAATTGCAGAAACTACATCTACTACCAGTCCAGCCTAAACTCTCAGTGACAAGAGGTGCTTAAATAAAACTTCCTGTTAAGGATTTCCTTTATCCTCTTGATAGCTTCTCTTTAGTGTAAAATTGTGGTCAAAACCAAGAGGAGCTGACACCATGTGAAATCTGTATCTCTGCAGAGGAGCAGCAAATGCTTTGAGAAGTACAAATGATCTGTGGACCATGATCTAGAAACTTCAGGTCTTAATGAATCTCTCCCTGCATATCTGATAATTTATCCAGTTGTCTCAACATCTTTATTTCTACTGGGAATTAGCAGTTATATTTAGTTTTGAGATAAACGGACTAAGAATGTAAAACATCCTTGAAATTTTATTCTTCTGATTTGTGGGCAAGTTTGAAACGACTGTTCTATGTTCCCTTAAAAAAGGCTAATATCAAATTCTCTGGTGTTTTAATCTGAGTGAGCATGTACTAAGACAAGGACAAAACTCAGGCCCAGTATATCCTGTATATATTTTGTGAAGCAGCATTTCTAAACTATGATCTTTGGGCATTGTCATTCCGATGACTCAAATGCAGATTTGGAAGATAACAGCACTGCAAAACTAAGTAACTTCTTTGGGTTTTCAGCTCTTACACACACACACAAAAAAAAAAAAATTAAAAAAAAATAATAAAAAAAGGCACATTATTAGAAAACAAAATGTTAAAAGAGGGGGCACTGCAATAAAACAACAATTTCAGAAGCAGTCAATCATCTACCTCTCCAAGGTACTGAAAAAGCTTAAAAACTAAATTTTGAGTTGTTGGCAAAACACAACGTGGCTAAAGATAACTAATGTACAAGATAACAGAAGGTTGCGGATAGGGTATTTACATCCAACAAATAGCTTCCAAGGCAATTTTGGGAAACTGCAGTGCAATGAGAATCACATTTATATACGTCAAACCTGCCAAAATGGTAGGATGATAAAACAACTGGAAGATCATCTTCTGAGATGGTCAACATCATTCATTTATACTTTCAAAAGGTCTTTTCCCAAAGTGCCTTGTGAGAGGTGAAACTCTATCATGGATCAATAGCTGAAAGACCAGGCAAAGAAAAAGGACAAGTGGAAAAAAGGGAAAAGCCTGGAGGACTCAAAAGGTAAATTTTCATCAGAGTATTAGGCTAAGCATAACGTATCACAAGATTTCATAGTATCTCTTCAGCTGTTTATTTAATAAAGAGACCTCTGTGCACCCACATACCCTTGCGTATGTACTTTAAAAGAGATGGATGAATTGTGGCTAAGTATTTGTTTCTTTAGATGAACCTAAACTATTTGCACAGCTCCAGTTTGGGGGAAATCATGAAAAAACTTCAGAGGACACTGACCAACCCAGCAAATAATGTATATGCAAAATAGTGCCTATTAGAGAGAATGCATTTGAACTATTCATATGAGGTACAGGGTCAGAAATGCATCTGCTCACAGAAGGGCCTAGATAGTGTCATGAACAGTTCAATTAAGACCTCTGATGAAAGAGCAACAAAAAAATAATAGGATATTAAATGCATAACAAATGGGAGAAAGCATAGTATGGAAAATATTAAAGTGTCTTTTTATAAATCAATGGTGCATTCTCATCTGGAGTACTGATCCCATCGTTTCACAAAAGGCTAGCATGCCATTAGAAGAGGTAAGAAGGAATGTGGTAAGAATGATTAAGTGCTCAAAAAAACTTGTATTAAAAAAGCAAGAGGGTGATGGACTAGAGAGATTTGATACAATATCAATTCCTATATTTGTACATGATTAGCAGACTGTAGAGAGCAGACTGGACAGGGACTGATGCACCTTTCCTTTCTGCTTCCAGCTGTTAAAACTTCATTAAACAACAGTAGAAATTCATTAGATGATTTTTCAAAACTACTTTTTCAAGTATGAAATGGCTGCCCCCAGGAAGAAAAGGCATCTATCAGACACTTATTTTATTAAGCTATGATCTCCACTCATAAATGCGAGGGAGGAAAAAACTCTTCTTTTATACAGTGTGCTCATATTTAGAATAACTGCTGCCATTGGCTTTTTTTTTTTTAATCTGCTACTAATCTCTGGCATGTTGAACATACCTCTGGATATCAAAAGCTTTGCCAGAATCTGCACAGACTTTCAAGTTACATAGCAGGACGTCGCAGGCCTGGTTTATTAGTGGTATCATCTAGAAAGGAACACATTGTATTGTGAAAAACATTGAAATGCTAAAAAAAAAAAAATAATCCATTATTTTAAATTCATTTTATCCAGTAGATGAGCCAAAACTCTCAGGATCCTTTGCAGGTGTGGTAAGGCACTTTTGCACAGGTAAGATGAAATGTTGGGACTGTCTGCTAAAAATAAACTACACGTTACAGGGACGCCCTTCACTACCTCTGGGCCTAAACACGAGAGGCCCTGTCACTTACCTGACCTTTGGTTCTTGCCCACCTGTGGCTATTTACACAAAGAGCTATCAAGCAAAGATATCCCCCTCTCTTTTTAATCATTCCCTGTTCCAACTGATGATTTACCATGATCCATATTTACAGTACATTACATTTAGGCTACATTTCTGCTCCAGGGCAGAAGGAATAATATTTCCCACAGTCCCAAAGTCATGTAAAGATATCAGCATCAGAGGCCCAGCACTTCCCTCCTGCTGTCCCTCAGTTTGAGGCATTTAACCTGTACATCAGAAAAGCACCCATATATACCACTCAAGTTGCTGAGGGCAAACTGATGTTGCAACCTGAGGAAAGGGTTTTCCGGAGTGGTGACGTCATTAAATGGACATTCATGTGAATTCATTCAGCTAGCAATTCTTTCCAGTCACTGACACATGGTAGTCAGATAGACTTACCCACAGCCTGGCTGTAGCTAATAGTGCTCCTCTTTAGCATTTCATGGAAACCATGACAGAGGCAACCATCAAGACCTCATGAAAGTCTCTCTCTCTCTCTCTCTAGCTTCTCTTTAACTTTTTATATACAAAAGGCATCAGACACCTTAATTACACCTACTGGGGGGCAGAAGAAGGGTGTAGCAGCAATCCAGGCATGACCCCAAAGGCATTATCTGCTATGACTCTTTCTCCACATAGACTGCCAAGAGATCCTTATAGCCTACAATTTGATACCACAGTCTTGCCTCAACAATTGTGCCAAGCATCAGCAGACATACGCACAGTAACCCGCCTTTCCTTCCTGAACAACCTTCTTTAGCATACAGATGTCAACAAACATGAGAACAGACTTATCCTACTCCTCTGACATTCTTGTTACCCAAAAAAAAACTTACTGCAGCCTCTCAGCACTCTGAGAGCTATGTAGCCTGCCCAGCCAAGTCCATTTTTCTTGGCACTTCTACCCCTGTGAAACTGGCATAATACTTTGTGCACAGGCACACTGCCATCCTAACACATGGGCAAGACTATATGCAGTCAAAAGGCCAATGTGGGAGCATCCAACATGTTTTCCAAAGGCAGAAGTCTGAGTCAAGAATGTGTTCAGCTGCTCTCGAGGTCCCATACCTATATGGGACAGAGCAGGTCGTTGCTCTTTCAGTTCAAAGCTGGATTGATTTGGCCTTTGTCACAGTCTCTCAAGACAATTCTGAAGGCAGATTAGTATTCTGTAAAAGTAGCTGGTATGTGTTTGAGAGGTGCACACCACGTTATGTGGCAGTTTTCTTCCCCTTTTGGCTTTCTAAAGAAGGTCCTGTGCAGTGAGCTTCTTCTCAAATGGTTCAACAAAATTAACACATTTCCGTTCAACAGACTGAACTAGGGTGAAACGCTTTATAATCTCTGGGTCCAGCCCCTCCAATGAACTGAACCAGTCAAGGAGAACAAAGTGAAAATCCATATTTTAACAGGTATGATATTTTCTAAACAGATGGTGATCATTTCAGATTTTCCTTTTATTGCCTTATTTTCTCTTTTATTCTTCATCACATCACCAGACCTGCAACCACCCAGCTGGTTGCTATTGCTTTCCAACAGCTGGCAGAGATGGCAGGGGCACATACGCCTGCCCAGGGCATCTCACAGCACCTCTGCACTTTCCCCATTCCACTAGCCTTTCAAAATACCATTGCAATTCACTTCTAGCCATAAGATATTTTTATTAGCAAGTCCAACCAAGAAAATGGGAAGGGGGCACATGGATTTGATTTATTATTAGCATGATAGGACAGAGTCATATCAATGAGACAATTATTTGCATATGAAAGCTACAGGGGATATCTACTCAAGAATCCTGGGTTTGGGTTTTTATTCCCCTGAGGGACATAAATTAGTCCAAGATTGCTAACTACAAAGACCACAGGCTAAAACATCCTCAAGTCCCTTAACACTTTAAGCTCTTTGTTCAATTGTCAAGAAAAAATAAAGTAGTTTTGGGGGAGGTGAAGTATATCAAACTTTGAAAACTGGCACAGAACAGACATGTTGATCTGCACCACCTTGAGTACCACTAACTTTCTATACATTATCATTTGCCAGTCAGAACATAAAAGCTGCATAACCTGCCTGAGATTCAGTTCTTGGTGAGTAAACAAACCGCAGCTGCTCCATGTTCAGATTGGCTGAGAGTAACAGGATGAAGAAAAATCTAAACAATATGGTCCCTGTAAATATTTGATCTGCCAGTTATCTAATAGCAAGAGTAGCCCAGAGTCCAAATTTATTTCTTTCTGCCAAAGAAGAACATTTGGGGTTAGGGTTTTTGTGATGCCAGGGTCTTTGCTGTATAAATCCTGCCAATATGCTATTTGGCACATAGCAACAATTAGTTTCTGATTCTGTGTATGCACAGTGCATAGGGATGTTTGCACTGTTCAAAGGCATCGGAATCATGTTCCTCTAGTTAGATGTGGTCCTCAGTATTCACTATTATTCTTCACCTTATTAGTAGCACCCAAACTATAAAGTAGAAGGCTGGACCATAATGACTGCAGACAGACACACTGGAGACTTTACTGTGCACACACAGTACGCAGAAGTCGTGTTGAACCTTGCCCCACAAATGGGATAAAATATAGGAAATAGGATAGCGATAAAATATAGGATTTAAAAAAGGAAGAAAAAAGGATACATCCCTAACATAAGAATTGTTTCTGTACCAGATTCCAAGTCCCTGACTAAAACCAGGAAAAGAGTGGAGCGTCAGTAAGATGTTTGTGAGATGATTTGTTTCCCACCGCCTTGCAGTGGGGCCCTGCTATTTGTGGGCACAACTTACCAAAGTGAGCAACTCAACTGGACACTGACTTGTGGCTCAAGGATATGCACATTTCACATATCAGCTTTTACATTAGTGATTTGCTTTGTCTCACGTGACCACACTTGCTTCGCTGAGTAACAATAGCAATTTTGAGAGAGACCCTTCCAAAATGCCTCTGATTAATGTGCACAAGCAGAGTAAGAGCAAATCAAGGAAACCTCAATGGTTGGACTGTCAGGTCTTATGTCCTAGTGGGACCTGGAAGATCTACATGCCTGAGAGTGACTCTAGAGGATTTTCTTGCACTGTTCTGCCATGTTATCACAAGTTCTGCTTTGTGTCTCCCTTCATTTGAAATAAAATGCTTCAACACAAACTCTACTTCGCAGGTTATTTAGGACAATGCTACATTATGCTGTGCTCTCTTCTTTATTTTTCGTGTTCTGTTTTGTTTTAATGGTTGGTTAATGGAGGAGAGGATTCCCAGCATACTGATAGGAGATGACAAGACTACTGCAGCACCATCAGAATAAATAAAAATCAATAGTCTTTCTGCTGGTGTTGGCTGTAAAAGAGAGTAAAGCTATTTATCAAGTCTGACAAGGAGTCCAGAATTGCAGGATCATCACAGGCACCACAGCAAAAAGCAGAGGAACAAAATAAGAAATACTAAATAGGGAATCAAGAACAGTACCACGAGATCACTAACATACCAGCTTGTTTCAGTATATAATAGCTGAGGAGAGCATGACAAGAGGAACACAGGGAACTGTATCTTTTACTAAGGACCTCCAGGTGCTTTACTTCACCAGTTCCTCATGAATTACATCTTGGATCAACTTTCAGTCTCTGGTAATATTCCCATTTAACAGATGAAAGTCATTTCATGACAGAGAATTTAAGTAGCTTCTGCCAGATCACCCACAGGCCGTCAATGGCAGAGCTGGAAGCGAAACTTCTTGGGTCTTCTGCTTCCTATCTCTCATTTATCATTCTTAGTGCTCCAGTAGTAATGGCACCATGATGTCCATTCAGGGGTCTCACTGTAAAGAGTTTTTTATCAGATCTGCTACCAACTCCAGTGGCATCTCATGTGGAATGCTACAAAATCTTACTGCAGGATCAAGCTTAGAAGTCTGTTATTTATACTATGCTCACCATTGTAGTATTTGAATTTAATGCCATCTGGAGTCAAACCTTTCTTCAGTTGGAGTGGACTGCTTTACTAATCTTTACATACTTATTAGAAAAAGAAAATTAAAAATGGAGGACACACAATGTATAGAAATCCATAAAAGTAACACAGAAACAGTGCATGGCTTTTAAAGAGAAACTGAGGAGACACAGAGCGAAAGCTGGAGAAGATGTCAGAAAAGCTTGAAAAATGTTAGCAAAACAAGCCTCTGTGTACACACAGCAATAACTACACTGGCTGCCCAACAGCTCTATAACCTCTATCTTCAGTTACTTGCTTGTAACTTTGCAAACTTCAGAATTTCTAGGATTAGCTTTTCCTCATTTGGTGATTGGCTTTTGAAGATTTTTGGCAAAGTAGGAGGAAATTCCTCAAGCTTAGTGAACTTCTCAGTGACACTACACCAGTTCCATGAAGAGACAAAGTATGCCTCTGTCCCCAGCCACAGAAGCTGGATGCCTCTGTGGGGCACTAGGTGTCAAACCTGAGCAACATGCTCTGCCAAAGAGTGGATGACCGGCTTCTTGTTATTGCTAGTGCTGAAGCTGTCCTTTAGCCTAGTGGTTGATTCCTGCATTTCTGAAATGGAGAGATCAGAAACCTACACTCAGCTCTCTGGCCCTCTGTGCAGCTTTTATCTGAAGTGATTGCTATAGGGAGCACAAGGAGTTGGTAACTTTTATTGCTCTATCACAGGCTAATAGCTTCCAGTTCTCTCAGAGCATCCAGACAGACAAGACTATGTTCGAAGTGGCACTAGGGGCTGCAACGTTCAAGGGGAACCACTCTCCAAAGCCACTCGGGAGGTCTGCAGTCTCTCCGGTATCACTGGGGAGTTTGCACAGGGGAACAAAGGCAAGGCAGACATCCAGAGCAAACAGAGAGGAAGACTTTGGTGTGGGATTTTATCAGAGCTCAGATCTCTGTGGTAAAGGAATCAACAACTTAGGAGAAGAAATGAGGAATGTGTCTAGCAGTATTTATAAATATGTATAAAACAACACATCCAGGTTCTTATGCAATAAATTAATACCAAAACTAGCTTATTTGTAACTCCTTTGAGGTTGAGGGGAAGAGTTTATTATGAACAGGATGTATTCTGCATAACTCTGACTACTCTGTAGTATGGCCAATACTAGAACATGGTATTTTTATTTCCATGCTGCTGTAGATGTTCTGGGAGAGTACTAAATATGGGAGAATTAAAATGTGAGATCATAATTAATGAACATTGATTTCCTCTGAGAAGTGTTGATATGGCTTCTAAATTAAGCAACAGCAAGACAAGCACATGGGCAAGGACTTAAGTTGCATTAACTTCAAATCCCAGGACTGTTCATGTATTTGGGTGGAAAATGAAATGCCAGGCTGAAGAGTATATTCATTCAAAAGAGGTTCTTAATCTGATATGGTCTTACTGCAAGAGTCCCTCTGTGTAGGGATGGACAGTCTTCTGGCAAAGACATGGGACAGAGGAAGAAAGTTGGGCCTTTCAGAGAGACCTTCCCCACTCCTTGTTTTCCCACTTTCTGGAGACTGGGAGGAGGAAATGACCATTTCTGAGTCACCCTGAGCCCACGCACAATCACACCCCTTCCACAGAGTCTGGAGGAGGCAGCACAGGGAAAGCTGATCATCAGGCTAAAAAAGAAAGATTTCAGGTTTTTGCATGCAAAACAGCTACAAGGCACTAGCCAACCCTCCATTTTGCCTCCTACCACTACTCCTGTGTTGCAGCTCCACCACGAAGCAGCGCAAATTGAGCACCGTGACTTTTCCTCCCACCTCTGTTTAGTTGGTGAAAACCTGCAAACCCGTGCCTGCCTGGCCCCAAAGCATAATGTCCAGGGCCTCTGCCTGCTTGCCCTCACCACTCTCATCCATCAAGTCTACTCAGCTCGTGCCAGCAGAGGTTGTTCTCTACAAATTGAGGGGAGCGCAGCTTTATCTTTTGTTAGTCCGCCAGCAAAGAGCTGATGACCTGCAGTAAGGCAGATTAATTTCCAGTAGGAAAATGCAAAACTCTCCTCTCCCCACCATGCCATGGGCAACTAATCGCTTGCATATTTAAACATCCTCGCCTCGCTAAAATTTCGCGATTGAGCCCATGACAGAGCAAATGTCGGGGTGCATAACCAATGGCATTGTCAGTCATGATTAATCAGCACCTCCGCCAGGATGGCGGCCAATTAGAATTTACCATAATAAGGAGGGGACAGCCGGTGTTGCTAAGCGACCGCTGTCTATAGAGCTGGGAGAGCCAGACACATTTAGATGTTACTGTGGATTTCGACAGCGGCATGTCAAAACAACATAAGTGTCTGCCCAGTGGAAAATTTTACAACCCAGGACTGGGCACTGGAGTGAGGCATGGTTCCCTTTCAGAATAAAATACATAAAAGGAAGAGGTGTTCTTTTTGTGGTTGGGTTTTTCTTTCTTTTTCCCCCCGTTGAAAGAAGACTTTAAGCAGTCAATCATTTATCTGCATTTAATTAAGAGATATCATGTCACTGGAATAGGACTTTGTTACCGGGTAATGAGTTCCCATGGCTAGGTAAATGCTGAGACATTTATAGGAAATTAGCAGCAGGTCAGCGCTGAGACATCTATTTTCAGTCAGAGGTATTTATCTGGCAATGACATTCTGTTCCAGTGACTTATTTTATTATATGAAAGGATTAAAGAATAAAAGGAGGAAGGGGAAGGAGATGGAGAAATGAAAACAGACTGACAGCAGTTCCCATGTTAATGTGAGAGATGCTGACTCTGCAAATAATGAAAACCTATGTTCCAACTGGGAGCAATAACCTTTCCTGCACTTTAGCTTACTCCTAACAGGGTGGCAGGGAGGAAGGTGTGAGGCTCCTTTTTGAGTTTGCTACACTTTTATGGACAAATTGTTTTTCATATGAAGACAGAGGATCATATTCTCAGATGAGCTACTGTGATTTTCACCAATCTATCACCTGGACCACACTGTATGTATGTGTTCTTCAGGTCTAAATAAACTAGCACAAGGTAGCAGTATTTTACCTATTCTTAATATACAGTTATATAAAGTGGACAATTGCACGAAATAAAACAATTACACCTTCTAAATTAGGAAAGCAACACAGCCTACATCTTACCTCTTTCAGTTTGGTGTCACTGAAGGCTGGGGTCAGGAGACTCCGAACATACTTCCATCTGTCATCACGAAGACAAAGGATGCTGTCAAGCATTGGCTTGGACATCAAGTCCGGCTTCTAAGTCGAAAGAAAACATGATTCAGTTTTAACATAAATGCAACTAGAGCTACTCAAGACTCCAGAACTTGGAAAGACTAGCCATGAATGGCATTGCACTGGTGTCCCATGATGAGAGAGGTTCGAATCCATCCCAAACACCAAGCTAAACATGGACGAGGCTGGAGAAAAAATCTCTTTTGCTGCACACATTTCCTCTTGGCCTTGCAAAAGTCCCAGGCCAGTCCAGTAACTCCTTGCTCAGATTGCTCTGGTTCTGCTGTTCCTGGTGTTCTCCTGCAATTGCCAGTTCTACTTTGCTGACCCGTAGCTTCTTTCCTCCTTTTCTAAGGTGACTAGCAAGAGGACCTGTCAACACTCCCTCTCTGTGTGACATGAGTGCCAACACACCGCATGTGGGTGTTGGTGGGGGACACAATTTCTGGTGACAGCTGGTATGTCAGACTGTTACATGCATTTTAAAAGTCTTCAGAAAATATGTTGACTAGAAAGCAGGTCCCAGTCGTTACTCTATAAGGAACACTCTCACTAAGAAGCCTGGGACTCTTACAGCTTCAGCAGTTAGTCAAACATAGTAGTTTAAAGCACTGTCCCATGAAGTTCTGTACAAAGATGACCGCTATGGATTCACTAAATTTTAATCCCCCCCAACCAACTAAGAAATCTCTATCCAGAGAATAGTGATATTCACCAAGGACTAAAAGGATAAAAAAAAGATGAAAAAGGCAGTGTGCCAGAAAACAATGCAATTAAACCCATGTCCTAGTTTCATCTGAGAGAGAGTTAACCTTCTTCATAGTAGCTAGTGTGAAGCTGTGTTTTGGATTTGTGCTGAGGAGAAGGCTGATAACATACTGATGTTTATAGTTGCTCCCAGGACAGTCAAGGACTTTTCAGCTTCTCTGATGTGCCAGTGTCTGCAGGTGCAGGAGAATCTGGGAGTTAACACAGCCCCAATTGCTAGCCTAGGATTTGACCTTAGGTTTAGGACTGAAACCCAAATTGGCCAATGATATATTCCATATCACGTACATCATGCCTAGTATATAGGTGAGGCTCTGTCCAGAAGTGGTCTCTCTTGCTCCAGGTTGTCTCCCTCTGGGTTGCCGCTCCCTCAGGGTTGTCTCGGTCTCTCAAACACTCAGGCTCTTATCTCCATCCTGGGATTTCAGTTTTGGGACTCTCCCTGCTCTGGGATCATTAGCCAGGAACGGGCTGAGCCTTGGTCATTGGGTGGTAAGCACTATCATTGTGTACCACTCATTTGTATATTTGCATATATTACTATTATTATAATTTTCAATTTTATTGAGTTAAATTGGTCTTATCTCAACCCATGAGTCTCTTTTCCCTTTGTCCCTCTAATTTTCTCCTCCATCCCCAGGAGGGGGGGAGGGTAAGCAAGTGGTTGGTGTGGTGTTTTGCTGCCAGCCAGGGTAAAACTACGACAGCCCAGAAGAGGCATCAGGAGGTATCCAGCCCCATAGCAGAATCTACTGCAACTTATTGCCAGTGGATGTTTCCTAATTGTTCTTGAAGGCCTCCAAAAGTAGACATTCAATAATATCCCCACACAAAGTCTTCCAGTGTTGGACTACTCCTACCATAGTAGCATGATCTCTCTTGCTGGATCTTATTGTCTTTAGTTTTTGTGCTAACACAGGCAGAGAAAACAGGTTTTTCTCTCTCTCTTTGCACCAGCCCATATATACAGAAGGCTATAATAACCACTAATCACATTGCTGCCATCTACCCCAAATAAAACCAATTCACTCAATACATACTTATCAGTCATGTTTTCTGGGACCATTTGTTCAGTCTTGTTGCTGTCCCTCTGCATAGTCTTGTTGACTTACATGTTTCTCAATATATAATCCCTGTGACCTGATGTGGTACCCCAGCCAAGGAGGGAGTTTTATCATATGTTCTGCAGGCTACATTCATCTCTATTCACCACAAAATACTACATACCATAGCATGACAATGTCAACTCATGTACTGGCTTGTGCTTCCCTGCAACTCTCAGACTTTTTTCTAAATAATTCCTCCCTAGGAAGTCATGCCCCAGTCTTTATTATTAAAGTTGGTTACTCCTAAGAGTCATATATACAAGTCCTAGCTGAACTGTGACCATTCTTTTTATGATTACTTCTCCAACTGATCAAGACCACTTTGAATTGCAGCCCTTTCTTTCATAGTGTCTTTCATCCTTACCTACTGCCTTCTATATAACTTGTTACCACGTTCAGTGCCACCACCTAACCCATTAACAAAAGTCAGAATAGCACTAGCAAAGTAGCCACCTCTGGGATCCTGCCAGCTCATGCTTCCTTCCAACAGTGCACTGTTCCCAAACACTTTCCAAGTCATCTTCAATCAGTATTTCAGGTATTGTACAGAAATGTCCTCCAGACAAACCATCCTAAAATTGGTGGGTGGGTGTGGAAGTGGAGGTGGAAGGTGTACACTTCTGCAGAAAGCGGGCTGTACAGTGACACTCATTTGTGCCTGTGGGATCTGGCACCCAGGCTCCTGCCTACCTGCCCAGCGTAGCAGTGGCAGTACAGTCATGCATGTTATCAGTAGCAGCAGTACCTCCTTTACTGGGAAAGACCCAAACAAACCAAAGACGCTTTGGCCTTCCCAATGCCATCTGTTGATCCCTTTCACCCTCTAACATTTTATTTCAGTCTTTCATTACTAATGTACATGAAAAACAGAGTTCTTACCACCTGTTACACACCTGGATACTTTCATCTCATTCTGTGCCTCAAGACTTCTGATTATATTGTCCCTACATGCTATTTTTTTATCCTTGTTCTTGGAAATCTGACCTACTTCTTACTCTGTAAAAAAAACATCTTCTCTTTGGGAGCCATGAAGAGCTGACAATTTAGCTACACTGGTCTTCTCCTGCACTTCCTTAACTTCCCTCCTTATTGGAAGAGTTTGCACTTAATATCTTTTCTTTAAGGATCTGCCAGCTCTCCTTAACACCTTTTTCCTTTACACTTGCCAGAATCTCGCTACACCGCACAAGCTTGTAAAATGCAGAAGCCTATTTTAGATTGCAAATGGGCTAATGGGATAGTTTTACATTGTCGGCAACACCACCCTGGGTAGTAAACTAATGTCACTGAGCTGACACTACAGACCAATTTTGAGCAAAGATGAGCTGTTTTCAAGTACAAGAGTACATAACAGGATATTAAGCTAAAGGAAGGAACTGACTCGGGTACTCTCATAAGGTGACTGCTGTAAGATAAAATACGGACACATTTTTAATGTATACACAGAATATCCTATTTTGTGCAATAACAAGGAAAATTTAGGACAGGCTGTCAAATCTGAAGTGGTTTGGACTGTTTTCTCTGAGTATCCTCTTTAAATAAATGATCTGTTTTCTAACTTGTCAGTAGGTAATCTGTTGTGAGGATCAGAAGTGCAGCTAGAGAGACCATCACTCACTGGAGCGCTGCCTCATTTGTTACAGATATTCAAAGGCACAATGGAATCAGAAGAAAGATGCTCTGAACAACTAGAAATTAGCATAATCCTTGGAGAAAGTACTGTATGCTAGCCTCTGCTCCACAGTTCTTATGTGCTGCTAAGGAAGCCCTTCACACTAAAACTTGACTCAGCTGGCCACCAAACAAGTATTCCTTATTTCTTTGGTCTTCAGTTTCAAGCCCAGAGGCTGACTGCAGAGCTCCTGAGCACTCACTAATGACACTGAGCCTCAATCACACAAAATGCATTAGTCCAAGAAATCAGGTCATTCAACAGGGCCCTGAATTAGCGAACACTCTTGGACCTATGCTTCAACTACCAGCCTTTACTCCTGGTTTATAAAGTGGAGATATCACATCACCTTGTCAGAACTGCTAATGATACACTAACATTTCTGAGGCACTCGGCAACTACAGTGAAGGAACAGACTAACAATTCCCACAAGGAAATTACTGATTTTGTCTTTCAAGCAAGGTTTGCATAGTATACAGGAGAGAAAGGAAAAAAAAAAAAAAACCAATACTTGGAAAAGTATTTTTTGCATCCACTCCTAAATTGAAGGCTGCCCATTCTGTGCACTCTATAAGACAAATCTCTGGAAGATAAGGCTCCACTTAGATAATAACAGACGCAATATAAATCTGACTACATTTGCCTCGAAAGCAAATCCCCTTCCTAAAACCAGACATTCACCCTAAAAAAATGCTCCTAATTGCACAAAGACTATATGCAGTGCATTCACAGAGAGGGGCCCAGTTTCTGAACAAAAAGCCTGTTAACTATAATGCCGTAAGTATGACACTAACCATAGCATTGCCTTTTTAGTACTCTACATTCTGTCAGTAATGCTCCCTTAGCATATTTTTGGTGTATATAATATTATATACATACAAACGCTGCAAGGAAGGAAAGGCAATTTTGGACAGAAATTATTTTACTCTGTCTCTTTAAACTGGGTACACAAAAACATGTTTGTGTTTATTGGAATAGCATCAGCGTGACTGACAGTGTATAGCAGATTTCATTTATCAGGTTCTCCTTATCGTTTCTGCAGACACTTTCCTCCTAATTGCATAACCTATTTTTTTTAGGAATGAAAATGGATTTGGTATGAGAATGAGCTTGAAGTATCTTAGTGAAAGATGAAGTGTCACCTCTCTCCGAATGGACGAAGTACTAGCTGCATCTGAGAATTCTTGAGCCTATAAAAAAATCACTAAAAAATTACCACGGAAGGCAGCTGTAATATTTTCAGGGCTGGGATTTTGGTTTTTAGGCAGGGAAGGAGGTTGCTTTTAAGTCAAATGAAATCAGAATCATATTCCATCTAGCATTATCTTAAATACCAAACAACAGCTCTGCACTTCCTTCTCCTGTGTAATCAACCATTTCTGACCGTGGTACAGTAATGCTGCATGAAAACTACCGGCAGCATGGTAATCTCCTGCAGCATACCTGCATAGTGCTACCGAGTTCCTACAATCACAGATGTGCCATCAGAAACAACAAAGAAAATTGGAGGGATTTGCTTCCAAACAAATCCTTTAAAATATCAGTGCTTTTAAAACAGAAAGCAAAATGAGCAGCATCTTCACAATTGATGTAAGAATTCCCTCCCCATTAAGCTGTTCCTTAGGCTGACCCTTCAGACCCAGTTATTGGCTTCTTTGTCCCCAAGTCAATTTGGCATGCTGTGTATTACTAAATAATTCAGGCAAGCAACTCTTCCCTGGCTCCGAGGCCAAGTGGTACAGAACACCTCCTGCCCCTGAGGTTAAATCACTTTCCTGAAGAGAATGGCCATATCCAAACTGTTTATGGTTATGGTGCATGTGCACCTCCTGAACTGTGCCCAGACCATGCCTGTGAGATAACTAATTGATACAGGACAAAATCACACTAAGAAGCATGTCAATATGGACATCTGTAGGACCTACTCATGCACTAATATCGTGTCCCTGTTTTATTCTGGAGTATAACTATTGCCTTGTGTGCTTCATAAACCATTTTCCGTTTTCTGAGTCTGTCACTAGCAGGCTAGACTGAACCTCCTGCAGCCAGCAATGGCTGCCTGGAGCAGGAGGAATGGCAGCAACACTACCATGTTCCCTCAGAAACCTTCTCTTCTTCCTCTGGTAGAAAAATGAGGTATGAAGGTTTACAACCAGCAGAAGAAAGTTAATGCAGCCACACACTCTTAAAATACCCCAAATAGGTGAATCTTCAAAGAATCTAAAGGGCACCTCTAAAGACCTTTAAAAAACCTACTAGCTGCAAAACCTGTAATATAAACCATTCACCTCCATAGAACCAGCTGCTAATCTACTCCACGTGCTTTTACAACACAGCAAGAAATGAAACTATAAAACAGGATCTCAGAAACTTTGTTATCTTAAACTTAGACTTAATCATAGCCTATTTCTAACAAAACCAATCAAAAAAAAAATTACTTCTGCTGGAGCCAACCCTCTGCACTGAAAGACTGGTGAGATTCAAACAGGAACTAAGCTCTAGAGCACACAAAAATCCCAAATCCTAACAGTAACTCTAACACTAATTCTGGCATTAGTAATACCTAATAAACACCATTTGCCTTCATATAAGTCCTCAGCTTTCTTCTAGCTCTGCAGGCTTTGCAGGATCCAGCTTCAGCTGGAATCCCATGCCCACACTCCACTGAACTCTAGCTCTAGTCTCAACCCTATAACCCGTGTTAACAAGAGACATTCATTCCTCTCACCTCCAGCCTCTCTTCTGTATCCATGGACATTGCAGTATCCAGGGCTAAGTCCAGCTCTGGGCTTTCTCCACCTCCACCCTTTACCCTCTTTGGGGAAATTTTTGGGGTATGTTCCCAATGCAAGTCGTCATCCTTCTCCCAGCCCTCAGGCATGCTGTGCAGTATCAGTGATAGCTCTAAGGGCAACAGGTTTGGGATCTCTCTCCCTGGGTGAGCTCCAGAAGTGATGAGCAGGTAGCAATGCTGGCATGTCAGTGGATTAATTTGTTCATCTTATTTTCAAGGAGGGTTGCAGTCCTTGTCTTGCTAAACGTGCACTTGTAATTAGGTATTGCCATCCCGCTTAAGAAATTGCATTTTTAAATTGAATTTAATGAAATGAAATTTAATGAAAAAGCAGAGAAAAAGTTTGTAGCAGAAAGGCAAGACCATCCCCATCCCTCAGACAGGAATTATTAATAAAATATTTTCATAAGATTACTTGTTCAACTCTGCTTGTACCACTTGACTGACAGGTCACCACCACCAGTTCAGCCAGCAGGTGGAACCAGTACGCCCATGAACTGCTCAGATGGTATTTCACCCAGCCAGTGGCAGCGGCACGACACTTACAGATCAACATAACACTTCCTATTAAAAAAAGTAACAAAAAAAAAAAAAACCCTGAGATATCTCCAGGAGTATATCTTACCAAGCCTGCAGTAAGTGGATCATGAAAGGGGGAAGGCAGAAGATGCCTCCATACACAAGCTTTAAAAACTCCCTCTTGGTAAACTGATACAGTATATTCCTTCAAATTTGCTTTGCATTTTTTAAGAGGAAAAGTCATGTTCAGCTCTGCCTGCATTCATGACATTCAAAGACATTGCATAGTGACTTCTGGTTGAACCAGGAGAGCACTGTGTTGCATGTTACTAAAAACAAAACAGAGTTGGTTTACATCATATGCTCTGTAGTTCATGATCATTTCCATCTAGCAGGTTTTTGCTTATACATATGTTACAGCCACCTCTCCTCAAAATGTGTATCACTTTTCTCTTCACAAAGCATCATCATATTGGAGCAAGGCTCAACTCCATACCCAAAGATCATAGCCTTCACGGAGAACAAAGGCAGGGCATTGCCCACTGAGCACCATGCCCCGGTGTGGGAGACCACGGGGTCTGTCCCACCCTCTGCTCTGCCTGTGAGGGGTCTTCCACTCCCATAACACCAGAAGCAATTGCTACACACACAGGTGTTGTCTCTCCCAGAGTATGCTCGTTCTTTGTTTGCCCTTCCAAAACTCCACATCCAAAATCTCAGATGCCACACACCCCACACTGCCACTCCCAGGTGACTGAAGTCCATCCTTCCTTGTCTATTAAAATGGTGTGCACACACATTTCTTCACAAACATTCTCCCAAAAACCCTCCCAGATCATCATTAACCATGATGACAGTCTATTGCACTTTTTTTCCCCTCTATAAAAGGCCATTTAAAACAAGTTTGATTTTAGTATCAATGATTTAGGAGGTTTTCTTATGGCTGCAGAGGGAAAAAAAGTTCACCAAACTAACACCATGAAGCTTATGTTGCCTTGCAATTTTATAAAAGTGTCTAGTAAAAGTTGAAACCAACACGTCTGTGGAAGTGGGGAGAAAATATACATGCATGATCTATTTCATCAAGCTTTTAGGTTCTCCTTGGCCATTAAGATATTTGAAGAGAGTATTACAAGGTAGAATTGGTTTCAGTGATTACACCAATTGCCTTCCACACTACTGTACAGCTCAGACTATACAAAAAGGCATCTCCAAGTCCATTCCGTTGTTGTCAAGTCAGGGTCTTCAGCAACTGACTAATGGCTACTGTTCATCATTACTCAGTGGAAAAACGGCACAGCCAACACTGGCTTACAAGTAAATACTGGCTTTTTTTTTTTTTCCTCTCTGTGGCAAGCAGCCTGGAAACATCTGTTCTTGTCTTTGCAAACATTCTCTTAAGTCATGGTTTTGTCAATAGAAACCAAAGCGAGTCATTGCAATGAGGTAAATATAACCATTCATAAATGCTAAAATAAACACATATGGCCTCCTGCAGTCTGACCTGGACTGGTGCAAGTCACACATCACACGATTTGTTGGTATAAGCAAGATCAAAATCAAACCAGGTCTTCATCACTTTGCATACAGGGGTCAGTTTGCATATTTGGGGTCAAAATGAGGTATTTACTGTTAATTAATTAGGAGTTTTGGTATTATAAACAAATTCAGGTTGTACTGTTCTATACATAGTGTCTTCTGTGCTGAGAAGCAGTTTTTAAACACAGTGTTTAAATCTACTTTCCAGCTGATGTAACTGGACTTTCTAATGTTGGGTAAAGCCATGAGACTATTAAGAGCCTCTGTTTATGCACACTTTTCCTAGAGGAAAGGTTGAGGACCAGAAAGTTCCTTCTACAGATTGTAAGGAGAATCAGGACAGAAGTTCCAAATAACTGTGGCTATAGATATATTCCAGTGCTTTCAATTGCTGGTATACATAGGAATGGCAGGCAATGCCCATAAAAACTTGGGCTAAATCTTTCCGTTACATAGGAACATTATATTCCACTGTCTGCTCATTCAGAAACGTCTCTGCAGCACCCTTGGAGAATCTGGAGCATACCAAGAAAGATTATAAGTACATCCCAGCCTCCCATTGCCTGTCCTTTAGGCTGTTGACCCCTGTCATAATCCTGAACAAATGCCTTCGGTCTGCAGTTAGATACCTCAGAAGAGGATTCATCAATGCTGAGCATGGAGTTGACCAGGCTGCTGTGACAGCAAGGCAGGAAAAGTGCCGCACCTCCCCACAGCCTTGTCACCTCCCTTGTCATGAACATCATAACAAAATGTCCTCCAGAAGAGAGGCCACTACAGCTGTGACCAAGGATTACTCCTTGTCTTTCAAGTGAAAAGTGAAGGAAGTCATGGTGGTAACTCCGTTTCATACAGTCACTGAGGGAAATGAACGCACACATGGGAAAAAAAAAGTTGCAATTCCTTCCTGTAGATAAGTATGGGAAGAAGAGTAAAGAAATAAGAATAATGAAGAAGGAAAAACTATCATAGCAGGAGTACAGGCTAGTGGAAGGCACAGGGAGGGACAGTCCTAAACTCCCCTGTCCTTTCCAGGGAATAATTAGGAATGAACTGAGATTGGATTTAGAGCATTCGTTCCCCTTGTGAAAAGGGCTTTAGTTCCAGTTTCTCTACAAGGTCTGTTTATATAAAACTATCATTATCTAAAGATACATGAGTAATATTTTGCAGTAGTACATGAAACCTTGGCCTCTGTGATCAGCGATATCTTGTAGCAGTATCTGAAAACTTGGCCTCCCTGATCCAGATGACTACCCCATTAGGCTGCAGAGATTGACCAACTTCTCTACCATGAATGCCAAGGACCACATGGAATGTGGAATAGCTTCAACACATAATGCAAGTGCATTTTCCCCAAGAATAACCTATAGGTTGCTAGATAGGGCACTTCCCAGAGAGATGAGATGGGCACCTTAGCATGATTTCCAGGAGAAAAATGCATGAAAGCCTTTATCTTCCACTTTGGGCACCCCCCTTGTCACTGGGGACTGTATCGAAGAGGCCCAGTCCCATCCCCTTCTTTTGTGACTTGAAGAAATGTGCTGGCTGCTGCTACATTTTCTTCAGAGCCTGAACCACCAGACAGTTTCAAAGGTACCTGTGGAGTCCATCTCCTCTTGAAACATCATATTCATAGGTCTCCTAGGCTGGACACGGGGTAGGTCTCAAAACTGCTAAGCACTTTGGCACCAAAGTGCTTTTGACCATGCTTAGAAGAAGAATTGCAGGTGCCTGAGAAACCTCGGTGCTCGAGTCAACAGCCCCAAGGGACTCAAGGCACTTCCAAACACTACGTATGGCTGAGCAAGGCTTTTTAATCTGTATTTTCAAATTAAGGTCCTCAAATGGGGGTTAAAAGCTTAAGACTTTTTGATTACTAACAGAGGCAAACTAGCCAGGTGAAGGGGAGACTTAGGAATTGCTTAGTTTAAAAACATTACTCATATGCAAAACTTTACTTCAGAGCAGAGTACATATATTTAAAAAGTCACTTTTTCATGTATTTCATATTTAATTGACAGTTTTTGTTTGACCTCTTTTGCTCAGATGTTGTAATATAGAAATAAACTTATAAATAGCCCAGTCTAGCTTAAAATCTCAAAGTACTGAGAAACACTAAAAGTAAACCAATAAGTAGTAAATTATGACCAAAAGCTGAAAGTCTTTTCGAAGTGTTTCTATCAGTCTTCCAAGTTCCCATGCAGCACCTAAAATTTGTTGCCTAATATCAGATTTCCTGTGTGACAACATTCAATATTCTGGTGTACAAAATATATTTCAAACTGTCATTTATCTAATTTGAAACAGAACATCTGGAATCAGTACTACAGACCAATGATCTCCAATATGTGCAAAACAACTCAAGGAAAAAGTATTTTACCTTTTCCCCCCCCAATACTAAAATGGAAATCTACAAACATTGTCAAACAAAACAAATAAAATTTGGCTTGCAAACACTGCTCGTGGTTTTCAAAAATACAAACAGGTTCAAGATGCTATTTAAATCAAAATACTGGAAGAAAAGGGCTATTAAAAATTAAAAACATGGATGCAACCTCCAGCTCAGGAAGTCAGCCATAGACAGTCAGAAGTTAGGGGGCTATTCTATAGGAAATACCACTCTGCACTTGCCCTGTTCTAAGCATCTGCTGCTAGCCAGAGACAGAGTGCTCCCTGGCCAAATATGTCTCTTTTTATGTTAGTTTTCCTTTGAAAAGTCATTCAGAAAGAAAATTCCAGGTCAGCTGTAACGGCAGCACGACAAGCTGTCAACAAATCGCATTTGCAATATCCGCTTAACTGAAGAATTTGAATTCCCTGCCTGCTACTTCACAATTGTTTCTAATTACATTAACCGTATATTTACACATCAGGGAAAAAACTAAATTTCACGTATTAAGATCTCCACATCTATCTGTCAAAACACTAATGCATTTTCCTGATAGTAGTAGCTGCTTTCGTTCCTCATTTATTTGTCCCTCAAGAAGAGCTAGGCTATAAAACTTTGTAAGTACTTGCACAGCACA